CTGAACTCGCAGCTCTCGCTCTCTATTGGCTGTTTGCCCTTTGAAGCGATTGCATGGTCCACAATCTTATTGTTGACCAGGTCTTCTATTTTACTCTGTTGGTCTATTGGAATTTTGCCTTTCGGATTACCGGCATCGTAAACTGCATAGCAGAGATCGTCCCGGTGCCTACTTCTGGCAACTTTGGCGTAAGATGGCGGCTCTTTTCCTTTTCCTCCGTCTAGCTTCTCCTTCCTCGTTTTTCGGGGCTTCTTTTGAGATTCCCTTACCTTCGAGGTTGATTTCGCCGACGTGTTCGTCTTCGGAATATCTGGCTTGGCGTTGTCACCCTTACTCGCAGGATTCTCACTTGAGATTCCTTTGAGTGAAGTATGGCTTGGCTTCGACTGTGTATTAGAAGACGGGAAGCTCTTTTTCTTCTTAGGTTTATTCTCAGTTGTCAACTCCTCGGGAGACCTGATCCTTTTTGCCTCAGATCTTGTGAGAGAATCCGATTTTTCCTTTGGAGTGTCGTGGGATTGACTAACTATGATTTCCTGAAGCATCTCTTTCAACTTCCTCCTCTGTGCTCCAGAAAGTCTTTTCTTAGTAATAGGTAGTTTAGCTATGCTATCACTCACCTCTTTCACCATTTGCTCTACTTCATCCTTTTTGGGATTTGCTATAATGGTATTATTATTATCATCTGAGGATTCAGAGTCGGAACCCTCACCTATATTTAAAGGCTGAGGTAGCTTAGAGCTCTCTCCGAGTACATCCTTCTCCTTCACCCCCATATTTTTGCGAGCGGAATGCTGTACACTTGACGCATTGTCCGCCACGGAGGCCAAGGTACCCACCTCCGTAGTAGTATTTTGCTCACGATTGCACGATGACGACGACACGTGACTCGCGAGTAGATCAACACTTGCCGCTGGGTTATTTAGGCCCTGCACCGTAACTTTTATCTTTTTATTTTTATTTTCCATATTTGTTTTCTCCAGTTTTTTGGTCCGCGGGGAATATAATATTCCCAGGTGGTGTAGTGGTAAAAAATAAATTTATATAAGTGAAAAAAAAAATATTATTTAGTTTTGTAACCGGCAGTGTTTGCCGTTGGTTACGCTAACACTTTTGCCGATCTTACCTTGATAAGGGCAAAAGGAGATTTATGAAATAAAATTCAAGGCAATGTAGCTGCCGATTTGAGTCTTAGTTTCAATCTGCTTTATTTGTGGCCAAGGGGCTCTTTTTATATAAAATTTACATATGTTCTAACTATTCTAACTTATTCTAATTTACATTCTATATTACTTAATCCTATTCCATACATGTACTTATTGTAATTTCGATAGTCGCAACTTGAAGAATTGACCAATCATATTGTCTTCAAATTGGGGAATTGAGTGACTTTATCAATGTCACTCAAACACCAATATGATCCCTTTAAGCATTCGTCACATTTCATTCAAGTGCAGCTTGATCGATTTTTGTTTATGTTTTGCAGTGTGAGGCGTGTATGTAAGTACGTGTGTGTGTTGATGTTTTGTACAGCGGTGTGTAATGCAAGAGCACACTACACCCTCGCCCTTAAGAGAAAAATTAGGGGATTGATTTTTCTAAGCACATGCATGGTAACAGTCAATTTTATAATATTTCTTATTAATATAGTTTTACAATTGTATATATATATATATATATATATATATATATATATATATATAAAATCTTAATATTAAAATTAATTAGTAAAAATTTATGATAAACTTATAAAATAGAATTAAATGGTTTTAATTGATTATTGTGAAATTGTTTGGTTTTTCCGTTATAGTCTATTGAAGTATTTACTCCATTTCTACTTATAATTCTATATGGTCCCTTATATGGACTTTGGTTTTTCTTCCTATTTTCTACTTTTAGTAATACTAGATGACCTACTTCTAAATCTAGCTTATTTTCATATTTATTATTTAATTAATTATTATTTAATTAATTTAATTTATTATTTAATGTTCTTTTTTCTTTGGTTTTGGTAATTATATTTTTGGCCCTATTTAATGCGAATTGTAGTCTAACTCGTAGCTCTTGTACATAGTCATCATAGTTGTAAATTTTATTTTTGTTTATATTAAAAGTATCAGATGGTAAGCATGGCAAGTTACCATAAACTAATTCAAAAGGTGAATAACCTGTATCTATATAAGGAGCCGTATTATAAGCGAACGTAAAATATGGAATCCACTTGTCCCATTCATAATCATTTGCTGTTGTCAGCAAAAATTCATTAAGAACTCTATGGTTTCTTTCAACTGAACCCAACGTTTCATGGTGGTATGGTGTTGAAAATATTTGTTTAATTTTAAGTAATGAGCATATATTGCTCATTAACTCATTTACAAATTCTGTTCCTCTATCAGATTTAAGTACTTTAAACTGTCCATACTTTAGAATAAATTGTTCAACTAGTGTTTTTGCTGTAGTGAGTGCATCTTTAGCTGACATTGGGTGTGCAACAACAAATTTTGTTAATTCACATTGCATTGTTAGTATGTATCGGTACCCGTTTGAAATACGAAGAGGACCTACAGTGTCGATTGAAATCACTTCAAAACTATTGTTAGGTGTATTTGTTTGTACAAGTGGTTCTTTAATGTGTTTTGTTTGTTTGTTTTTATTACATTTGTCGCAATACAATACAAATTTCTTAACCATCCTACTCATATTTTTCCATATGTATCGTTGTTTTAGTTTTATAATTGTTTTTCTTATTCCCAAATGACCTGAATATGTCGTGTTGTGGAATTCGTCAATCAGTTTATACTTCAATACGTCGTCTGCAATTTTTATTGGAGGCTTAAATATCAATATTTTTAATTGAGGGCTTTTATTACTAATTTTTATCTTCTCATAAGTTTCCTTAAATTCTTCTTTTGTATACAAAACAAATATTTTATCTTCATTTGAAAGCGCTAATTCTTTTATATTTTCTCTATTCATTTTAGATATCAGTTTTCTCAGAATCGAATCTAGTTTCGCTGAGTTTTCGCTGAATCTTTCATGCATATAATTATTTTTGTTTTCAATATTTCCTTCACGAAGGGTAGTCATCTTGTCGCGATGTGAAGGCTTAAGTGCAATGAATCCTATGGGCCATGCTGACGGAGTCAGCTCTGCCCAAGCTGGCTGGCTCCAAGGGGTCACCCTTGTCAGACGGGCCATAGGACGAGCACGAAACTAAGAACTACCCCTCCCAACTGACAGATGTCTGTTTCCCATATTGGGCGGTCTGTCAGTACCCGCTCTATCGATTGTTTTTCCTATCACTGAGATAGGGCAATCGATAGAGCAGTCCGATTGAATCCTTAAAGGATTCATGCACTTAAATGTGCAGTCCGAAACCCATCAAGCGTCTGTTCCATATTGGGCGGCTTGATGGTCTGTTTGATCCCAGAGGGACGGCAGTTTTTGTGTCCTGGCAGTAGGTGAAAAATGCAAACCTCCCCCCCCCCCAAATGATGTCTGAAGAAGAAAAATGCCCCTCGTATCCGGTTCGGGGCTTGACAATACCCGGAGACCCTATTCCCACAGCGGCGACACCGGGCTGTGGTGAATCGAATGTTACTGGCATCCGAGTTAGACAGGTGGTAGCACCGGGCCTGTCTAATTCGCAAGTTACTGGAGCAACAACAACAATAAAACCCGCAAGCAGCAAAAATGTCTCCCATGTGCCACCTTGTGCAAGAGAGGAATCGTCGACCCCGATGTCGGGTTCCTCATCCGCACCTCCCCCTACGCTGGAAAAGTCGTCGAACTCGATGTCGGGCTCTTCCAGCGTACCAGCAGATTCCCAACGGCACAAAACCCCTTCCCGTAGGGCTTTTGCACATCGGCGCGCCGCCGAGCGCATTGTTGAGCGACATGGCGCCAAGCCCAACAATGTATTGTCCAAGGACGAGAAATCGTCTCTTGAATGGGCCAAAAGTATCCTGGCTAGACAACAGGACTCAAATCCTCCAGCCAAAGCAGAAGTGACGAAGTCTGCTGCTGAGGCGCCTAAACGGCAAAGATCAGAGGAAGAGTCCCCTTCGTTGTCAACCATCCAGCCGACGACTAAACGTCCAAAGAAGGCGCAAACTGTCGTCGTTAATAGGCCTTTCAGTGAGGTTGCCAAAAATCCACTGGTAAGGGCTATTATCGACAGGAGCAATAGTGACGGGGCCATCTCTCAAGATAAATGGGGGATCATCCGTCAACGAATGCTAGGGGTGTACTGGAAAATCCTTAAGGAAAATCCAGGACCCGCCCCCCAAAATGATGACGCTGGCTGGTTCCAGGGTCATATAAAACTGCTGGCTTGATCGAATGAGCGCTCTGCGTTACTTCTCAAGCTAGCGATTGAGTCCCTTGGGGAAGTGTGGCCAGGTGCTATGTTGGACGTGGTCCCGGTATGTGAAATTCCTCGCAGACCGAGATCCATTGCCACCATCCCAACTGAGCCTCATGACCCGGCGGAACGACCGATAGGAACGATCAGAAAGGCGATTGTGGTCCTTAATAAGAAGTCCGTGTCGCCACTGCGAGAGTGCGGAAGCAAAGTATACTATGGCTTTGATAGTATTACTCTCCGTACCTACCGCAGTGACGACAAACGCAACGCCGCTGCCTCGAAGGTTAAGCTAGAGGTTCCGCCCAAGAAGGACGATGATAACATCGACGATCCCGCTGTTTCAGAAGGCGGGGAGAACTCTCAATCGACCACAGGTCAATTGGGAGAACTCCTCGGCGATCTGAAAGTGGCGGAGGACGACGACACCCTTTCGGATACTGATCCGGAAGATGTCGACGTAACCGTCGTCTACGATCCTGACTTAGGAGATGGTGAAGGTATTGCAGATTAACCTTCACCACTCCAAAGCAGCATCTGCTGCCCTCCTCCTCCGTTTAGCTGAAAGAGGGGAGGAGCTAATCCTGGTCCAGGAACCGTGGACCCACCATGGTAAAGTTCGTGGACTCTCGTTTAGAGGCTATAAGCTTCTTCATGCTAACTGTTCAGGTAATATAAGATCCTGTATTCTGGCTAAGAGCCATTTAAACATCTTTATCCTGTCTGATTACAGCGACGAAGATACTGTTGCGGCTGCTTGGGAGTCTGGTAACTCAAACATCTGGCTTCTAAGTAGCTATATGGCACACGACCATGGCGACCAGCCACCAAATCGCCTGGTGAGGGAAATTGTGTGTGAGGCAGATAGGCGACACATTCCGCTTCTCATGGGTGCAGATGCAAATGCGCACCACACGGTCTGGGGAAGCTCAGACATTAACTCAAGAGGTGAGTCTCTTTTAGATTTTCTATTAGATAATAACCTAGTAGTAGTAAATAGAGGTTCAGAACCCACTTTCATAGTTGCAAATAGAAACGAGGTACTGGATATAACGGTTGTGAATGCAAACCATATTGACCTAGTTCAGGGTTGGAAGGTCTCAAAAGAATGCTCCTTCTCTGATCACTGCTATATAGAATTCGAAATAGTGGTTCAGGCAAAGATTATAAAACCATTTCTCAATAGGAGAAAGACGAACTGGGAGGTACATAAAGCGACCTTGACTGATATTCTTCCTACTGCTCCGACGATAGAAAGTAGAAGTGACATTGATTTAGCCGTTAACTGGATCTCAAGCTCTATTAGTGTAGCCACAAAAAGGGCTTGTAGATTATCAAATGGTATGCTTAAGGGCAAACCCCCTTGGTGGGATCCCGAAATTGCGAAAACTCGAAGGTTATGTCGTAAATTATTTAACGAGGCAAAGAGATCTGGTAACTGGTCTCTTTATAAGTCAAAAGTTAATGAATTTAAAAATCAGGTACGAAGTGCGAAACGTAGCTCCTGGAGAAAATTCTGTAGTTCTATAGAAAATTCGTCAGATACGAGTCGTCTTCGTAAGATCCTGTCTAAATCTCCTTCCGTCCCAAGCTATATACAAAAAGCGGACGGAAATTGGACTGCAGGTAGTCAAGAGACACTTGAGCTTCTCTTGAATACTCACTTTCCTGGTTGTATCCCAACTGGTGAATCAATTGCAGATAATCAGCACGGTATTGAACTAGATAATACTGCTGAAGATGTTATGATAGATGATGACATCATTCGCTGGGCAATAAGGAGTTTTGACACCTATAAATCTCCGGGCCCTGATGGCATTATTCCAGCGGATCTACAAAATAATTTAGATCGTATCATTCCCTGGCTAAGTAATATTTATAAGGCCTGTTTATACTGGTCCTACATACCTGTACAGTGGACCAGGTGTAACGTGATCTTTATCCCAAAAGGGGGAAAGACATCTCACACCAAGGCAAAAGACTTCAGACCCATCAGTCTGGCGTCATTCTTGCTTAAAACTCTGGAGAGGATAATTGATATCAATGTCAGGATATCTATTGACAAATCTCCACTCTCAAACTCTCAACATGCATACATGAAAGGTAAATCTGTTGAGACGGCTTTACATTCCCTGGTTGGGTACATTGAAAAGTACATGAGCTATGGAAACTTCACTCTGGTTGCCTTTCTCGATATTGAGGGCGCTTTTAATAACGTCAGATCCTCACCTATCTGTCAATCCCTCTCACAGATGGGTGTGGAACGATCCATTGTGAGTTTTGTAAAGAACTTGCTATCTGAACGGACTATTGTATCTTCACTGGGTGATACAACAATCTGTAAAAAAGCCATCCGGGGCACTCCTCAAGGAGGGGTGTTGTCCCCTATTCTTTGCAATATGGCAATAAATGAACTATTGGTCAAACTTGACTCACTAGGTTTTAAGACGGTTGCCTACGCTGACGATGTTGCAGTAGCGGTAACTGGTACGCATCTTGAGACTCTGTCTCAGAGATTGGAAGAAGCGTTGAAGATAATAAGCTCATGGAGTGTTAAATGCGATCTCATCGTAAACCCAGGAAAAACGGAACTAGTATTGTTCACAAATAAATACAAAATTCCTCAATTCTCCCTTCCACGCCTCAACGGTGAGGTTCTCACACTGTCGGATAGCGCAAAATACTTAGGTGTTATTCTCGACAGAAAATTGTCTTGGAGCTTGAATATCATCTCCAGATCTTCCAAAGCCATTACGGCGTTATACGTTTGTAGAAAGGCTATTGGCCTGCATTGGGGTATCAACCCAGGAAATGTGAATTGGCTATATGAGGCGGTGATTAAACCGATAATGATGTATGGTGTAATTGTCTGGTGGCATGCACTTGACAGAATATCTAACAGAAACATTCTTACTAAAGTTATGAGACAATCTGCTCTTCTCATAACAGGTGTACTTAGGACTACGCCCAGTAAAGCGTTGTTTGCCATGCTGAACTGGCTGCCTGTGGATCTTCTTGCTAAACAACTGGCAATGAATACTGCAGCCAGACTAAGTATTACGAATAGATGGAACTACGGTTCCAGAGGTCATGCAAAGATTGTAGATCTTGTACCAAACCTACATCAAGCTATTGACTACCATATTCCGGAACCGTGCATATCGAGGAACTTCCGGTTTAGTTTAATCTGCGATTATAATGAATTAGCACCTGAAAGTGTTGGAAGCTATAATGTATATACAGATGGCTCAAAAACAACTAAAGGTGTCGGCGGGGGCATATTCATTGAAGAATTCGGGACGAAAATCTCTTTCCGACTCAACGACGAATGTACTATTTTGCAGGCTGAAATCTCAGCTATAAAAAGGGCTTCTAATTGGCTTAGGTACTATCGGATATCCAACAGAGATATCAGAATTTATACTGACAGTCAAGCCGCTATCAAATCCCTGATAGGTGTGTATTCTACATCAAAACTTGTCCAAGATGGCGAGATATTCAAGAATTACCCTTATTTGGGTCAAAGGACACGGGGAAACAATTGGCAATAATACTGCTGACATTCTGGCAAAAGCCGGCACGAGGATGACCATACTGGATATTGACCAGTTCTGTGGTGTCCCCTTAGCGGTCATCAAGAAGCAAATACTTGATTACTGCTTCAATTCAGCTCAGGAGCGATGGTCTCAGGAGCACACTTGCTCGATCGCTAGGTTACTGTGGCCTCGTATGGATTCTCATAAAACATCCTACATTTTAGGGCTAAACAGAATATATCTGAGTGCTTTGTTATCAGTTCTTACAGGTCATTCAAAGTTTGGAAACCACGCTAGACGTATTGGTATTCCATATAATGACTTTTGTAGGAGCTGTCAAAATGAAGAAGAAGAGGAAACTATTACTCATTTTCTGTGTAACTGCCCGGCCCTGGAATCGCTCCGTCATCAGGCGCTGGGTTCGTCTCACTTTTCTGATCTATCTGATCTGTCAGCTATTCAACCTGAGTGTATACTAGCATTCTTGAAATTGTCGAAGTGGGTGTGTAACTAAATACACACTATGATTTTTCTGGTAATAGAGTCTTAACTTCTTCGCTATTCTATACTCATCATTCTACTTTCTATATCTGTTTCTTCACTACTTTCTTTAGTACTACTCCTCCCCTTCCAAATGTTTTCCCTTATCTTTTCTCTTTACAGACGTTACAAAGGGACCGAATAGGACCCAAGTATAGACTTACTCGTGTTAGTAAGCAGTCTGAAAAACCTAACCTAACCTTTCAATATTTTGGGTTCGAGATTTCTTCATATTCGAAACGGGTTTCGTTGAATTATCATCACGACCTATGTGCACAATATTATTTTCTATATATATATATTCAAATTCTCTATATTCTCTACATTATTAAATTGCAATTTCTTTATATTTTTGACGTCATTAATGGAGGTGCATTCCCACATGTGAAGTTGATCAAGCTTCTGAGATGTGCATTTTTCCAGTTTATTTTCTTCTACACGTGTATTTTCTAATTCATTAAATCCATGTTCTTCATTAATATCATTTCCCTTATCTAATTCTTTCTTTGCCTCATTTTCTTTATTCTTCATGCCTCTTGTTGTTACTAAATTTTTTTTGTTTTTCGTCATATTCCTGTGGTATCATTTGTTTAAGTACATCAGAGTTAATTTCTATTCTGGAAAGTGCGTCTGCATTCGTATTCATTTTGCCCTTTTTATAGACAATTGAAAAATCATAGTCACACAGATCTAGTCTAATTCTAGTCATTTTTGATGATGGATTCTTATGTGAAAATAGTGAAATTAATGGTCGGTGGTCCGTTACTACTATAAATTGTCTACCATATAAATAAGGTTTAAAGAAATTTATACCCCAATGGATTGCTAAAAGTTCTTTTTCTATTATAGGTTTATTAATGTCGTGTTTTTGTAAAGATTTACTAGCGTATGAAATTGGTAGGTCTTGTCCAATGTCTATTTGTGATAGAACTGCTCCTAGTGCGGAATTTGAAGCATCTGTGGTAAGTATGAAAGGTCTGTTAAAATCTGGGTATTGTAATATTGGTGGATTAGTTAATTTTTCTTTTAATGTGTCAAAAGCACTTTGACATTCATTGGTCCATTCGAATTTAACTGATTTCTTTAATAAAGAATTTAATTGTTTTGCAATATCTGCAAAATTTGGTATGAATTTTCTATAATAGTTACAAAATGCAACAAATCTTCTGACTTCGTTTGTATTTTTGGGTATAGGGTAATTTTTGACTATTTCGTATTTAGATGGATCTGTTCTTACACCGTCTTTAGTAATAAGACGACCCAAATAAACCACCTCTGGTCTCAAAAAACAACATTTTTGTGGGTTTAGTTTCAGATTATATCTCTGAAGTCTGTCAAGAACCTTGACAAGATTTTGGTTGTGATGATTTAAGCTGCAACCATATACTATTATATCGTCTACGTACAGAAAAGCTTCAGAATCCAATCCAGACAATGCTATTGTAAGCATTCTCTGAAAACTGTGATACTTTCAAGCCGAATGAGAGTCGTTTAAACTGAAAATGACCATGAGGAGTGGAAAATGCTGTAAGTGGTCTTGAATCCTTTTCAAGCTCAATTTGGTGAAATGAACTAGTCATATCGAGTGTCGAAAACCATTTTGCTCTTCCTAGTTTGTCCAAAACATCTTCTAATCTAGTTAGTGGAAATTTATCATTGACAATTCTATCATTCAACTTTCTAAAGTCCACTACAAGTCTCCATTTCTTTTTATCCTCAGTATTCTTTTTCTATTGTAAGCATTCTCTGAAAACTGTGATACTTTCAAGCCGAATGAGAGTCGTTTAAACTGAAAATGACCATGAGGAGTGGAAAATGCTGTAAGTGGTCTTGAATCCTTTTCAAGCTCAATTTGGTGAAATGAACTAGTCATATCGAGTGTCGAAAACCATTTTGCTCTTCCTAGTTTGTCCAAAACATCTTCTAATCTAGTTAGTGGAAATTTATCATTGACAATTCTATCATTCAACTTTCTAAAGTCCACTACAAGTCTCCATTTCTTTTTGTCCTCAGTATTCTTTTTCGGTACCAAAAGGAGTGGAGCATTATATGGACTAACTGATGGTTCTATTATATCCTCGTTAAGCATCTTCCGTACTTGTTCATTTATTATTTGTGTATGTGAATGTGGAAGTCTATAATTTTTTATATACACTGGTGTATTATCAGAAGTTGTGATATTCTGTTTATAAAAATTATTTACTGTTAAACTTTCATCATCTAAATGAAATACATTTTGATATTTTCTAAAAATTTCTATTAATTGTTTTTTTGCATGTTCGTCACTATTGTTTATGTTAAGTGTATTTAGTATTTTGTTAAAACGCTCGTCATTGTTTATGTTATTGTAATTTAATATGTCATAATTTTTAAGTGGGTCAGTCTGGAGTTTACTGGTTGTATAATTTCTGTTCTTGGTGGTATTGTTATTGTTAATTCACTATATGTTTTTGTTTGCATAGGCAAAATTATTGTTGTATTGTTTACAAACAAAGTTAATGTAAATGTTTCATAATCAATTTTACAAAAATATTTCTTTAAAAAGTCTCGCCCAATAATACCATCTGTTTCAATTGGAAAATCTGTATCTACTAGTTGAAATGTATGTTTACATTCTATGTTTGTTAAATTTAGATTAAGGTCAATAGTTCCTATTGAATTGATTTCCTGATTTGTGATACCTGTTAATTTACATCTTTCTTCTGGAAAATATTCTTCATTTTCGAAATATTTGTTCATACGGCATAGGGATATGTCGGCACCTGTATCGACAAGAAATGTTAATGTTTTATT